ATTCAAGCAAGTTACAAAACATGGAAAATTCCATTACTTCCTCTTCACAGAAGAGACAGTGGCAACTACCATCTTTCAGAGAAAAAAAAACCTGAGGGGAAAAGTCTGCAGATTGCAGTTTTGAAACAAACATCTTCATTCACCATTTCCGTTCATTTCTAAAAAAAATATTTTCCATCTAGCATAAAAAGAATTTAAGTTCAGACATTATTTTTGGGAAAGGCTGGAGGCTATGTGTGGGCAATAGGAACAGAGGCTTTGATGGAAAAAACTGGTTAGAGCATTAACAAATGATAGACTATTATCCTTCAGTAATGAACTGACATGATGGTACTTTCCCTTGCTTTTCTTTGCTTTTAAATAAAGGATTCTGTCTGTGTCCTGTTAACTACTACAGAATGGTTCTCAATGTACTTGCAATGCTGTACTCACTCAATTTTAGCAGTGATTTTCTCTTATATACAAAAGGAAACAAGAAAAAATTGTATAAGGACAAACTACATGTTTCAAAGGCTAAATTTAAAAGTCTAACAAATATATGCAATTCGACAATTTACAGAACTGTTAGAGCTGTGAATCTTCCTTTTGTGATTTTTGCCCTTTTAATTCTTGCAAATGTAAAAAGGCAACTTACTGCATTCTATCCTTTACATCTAGGATGCCTGAAGAATCTGCTACCATACCTAGGTCTGACAGGTATGGTAACCCAGGAGAACAACTTCATGCTTTTCAACTGCCAGAGGGAAAACTTAAATGCAACCATAAACATGCCCAGGACGCACACAGAATGTTTGGATCACCAGCTACATGAAGAACCAGAAAAACAGACTAGCCTGACAAGAAAACCCTCTAAAAAAGAGAATCACTATATAATTATGATTGCATATCAAGAAACAAATATCGAGGAATTAAAACTGTCTGTAAGGGTCTTAACCAAATGCCATTTATCTAAAACATGAGATAAGTTGATAGTGTATTAGTAAGTCTGAGTTCATACAGCCTCAGCCAAAATTTACTCATAATTACTTCTGGGCATTCCAGGAACATGTAATTGACTACAATACAAGATACAAATACAAAAACTAGTAAGAAATTGATGTGACTTCAAAGACAAAAAAAAGATTGGTTTAAAAGAGGCTGGTTGTGAACTGCATCATTGCAGAAGTGTTAAATCATTCAGCAAGTCTGCCCATTTCAAAGCCCTTACTTTGCAAGTCAGCCAATCACTGCAAATGCCCACTGAGAAAACAAAACCAAAAATCCTACAGAGGTTAGAAATCTGCTTGTTCTTCAAGTTTGTGGTTGCTACAAAGAAATGAAATAAAACTTAAGTTTTCTTTTTTGGCTACTCTCACACAACATCTTTCATATCTGTAGAGCTTTTCTCTTTGCAATTAGCATTAAGATTTGTATGCCACCATTTAGGCTCAAATGCCTTTCACAGAGCCACAGAATCATTAAGGTTGGAAAAGACCTCCAAGATTGAATCCCCTCATTCCCACCTACCTCAGGCCTATTTAAGTCTTTCACAGTTAAAATTTGCAAGATCTTATCCTCTGATGTCATTTCTGTGATCATTTATGTCCAGTAGGCTCTAGATCAGGTGAAGAGACTGATATCAGGTAGGACTCCTTTTAATCTATTTGATTAACCTTCTACATGCCTATGAGACATCTGTGGATCAGGTGTGGGAACCAGCTGTACCTCACATGAAAAATCAAGACTCACTACACGTGTCCAAAATAGGTGCCTTAATGCTGTGTAGTATTTCCTAACTTGGACAGGTAGAAAAACACCAAACTAATGGAGGTCATACTTCACAGAGATGGGTATCCCCTTCCCTAAGTGCCAAATCCCCGTTCCTATTTGCCCCATTGATGCTCTGCTCCCTTGTGACTCCCTGCTCATTAAGCTGCCATAAGTGTGTATCTAACTCTTGCAAACTCTGCCTTTAGAAGAAGAGCAAGCTTCGTGTCTTCTCCCAGACAAATAATATCAAGGTGCAGGGGTCAGAGGCTGTGAATTGCATCCGGAGCCCCTTATTGATGCCAGAGGAAGAAAACATGAGACACAGCCTTCCCTTAATGTCCCATAACGACTGGCTTTTACTGTAACTGATTGTCAAGGTCCCTATTGGTATTCTACCGTGGCACACCCAAACAATCTCATTCGCTTTAAATGCTGTGTAAAACTCTTGCCTCACCCTTGCAAACGTCTCTCTCAGAAGTGGACGTGTAAATTTCAGGCATTACTGAGGTTAATGCTACCCAAGTTTCTCTAGAAATCTGCTCCTAAGGATATGCAGTTTGGGATTAAAAGGAAAAGCCATTAGAGAGAAAATGCTCAAGTAACTGAGGGTTTCTTTTGCGGATGCATTATCTCAGTCTTCTCAAGCACCAATACAGAATGTCAACTGTTAAACATTATGAAAGATATAACATGATATAGCATCATTATGGATCACAGCTTAATGAACCTCTAAATTTAATTTTGTTCATAAACAGCAATCAGGAAAATTAATAAAACTACCTCTTAAAGTCAAGTACTACTGCCTTCAACATGGTCTCCATATTAGCTCATTTCCAAACCATTAGAGAAACAATGATTTTCCCCTCCTCCTGCTGCTTATGTTTCTTCTTTTGAGAAACTTTAACAGAATAAAAAATTTCTTCTATTTTCCTTTTCCCTCACCATGCAAGAAAAGATGCACCACAAACAAGATCATACTATGTTTTCAATTACTCACAAAATTAGCATTTAGAAAGCACCATTCACCCTAGATTTCTATGTCACTTTTAAATTATGTCATTAATGTCAAGTACTTGTTTGCTTTTTCATGCTTTGAGGAATTACTGATGCTTACTGAGCACTATCCTCACTTTATCAGGGAAGCTGCAGTAGTGAAAGACCAGAGCCTGCTTGAACTTGCATGAAGACCTGCAGCAGTGCCACTGAAGCACATGGAACTGCACTCATCCAGAACTAGGTTACTACACAGCAGAGCAGAGACCAAATCATTCCAAAAGGCTCTGCTGTGGTGGAAGGAACAAAAGTAAAATCTGTATTCTGAGTCACAAACTTCTCCCCAATTCACCTGCTCATCATAAAGAACAAATCATATTTTTAGCAAGCACAGCCAGTGAGGGGTCAGGAAGAGACTAAATAGCTATACCAAGGTCATACAGGAGAACATCTCTAAGCTCTGATTTCCCAATTTCCAGGATAACACCTTTAATCACTCACATACCTTTAAATACCACTAATCATACTGGTAAAAAAAAAAATCCAAAGAAAATGTTCTGCATTCCCAGAAGCAGCCCAGTGTCTTAAAGCACCATGTATCTCATCAAAGGAACATTTCAACAGAGAACACCAAGCTGATTCTGCAGAATCACAATGAGAAAGGCACTCATGCCAGGCACTACCACAGAATCCCTTAACTCACATTCCTCTGCCAACTAGATCAACTCTGCATCACATTGATGAGAAGTGTGAAGTTGAGCTATCAGCTCACCCTCTGATACCTGCTGATCAAAGAATTTAACATACTTTTTCTTTCCCTTTCAATCATTGCCTTTATTATACGTTTTTAGAATGTTTTCTCTTTCAGAGAAGCAGAAAAAGCTCTAATAAACATTCATTACACATTTTCTACTGGAGTCATGTGAGAAAAGTTATTTTTATTATTCTGCTTTCTTAAAACAGATAATTTTTTTCTGCAACATCTGCATATGAGTAAAGTATCAATAAAGTACAGAATAATCCTTTACTCTTTTAAGGATTTCACAGAAACAAAGATGACCAATACCTCTGAGGATCAAGACCTGAGAAAAATCTTGACTTACATTCCCTACCAAAGGACTTGGGTCCAGATCAAGATGCTCAACAAAGAGAAATTTGTGGTATAGTACAGAATGAAGAGGATCCAGGGGGAGGAAAAAAGGGTAATGAAATTTTACTGCCACGTTAGCCAAAAAATAACAAACAAAATGGCTGCTCCATGTTATAAAATACATTGAGGGTTACTCTAGGGTTCAGTGATGTATTCAAGCATTTCCTGTGGGTTCCCCCTTCAGACATACAGCACATTAACTAGATTCACATAAACATTCTGGAGCTTTTTTCCTCAGCACTAAAGACAAATTACTGTCTTCTGGACAAAAATATTATTTTCCTCTTTGCAGTCATAATTTTTTTCTCTCTCACCAAAAACTTCCAAACATTTTCTGACACTTACTTCTAATGAGTGGTACTTAAGTGCACCCATCAGTTCTGCCTATTTCAGTCAGCTGACTTCCTCACTTGCAGGGCCTATTTCTGTGAATTCTTACACAACCTGTAAATGTTGAAGCCACCCAGCACTCAATGTTATGGCCACCAAATACCACAAAACACATATTTTAGTGAGATGCCACAGCTTGTCCGAGTTATTCCCCAGGTCTGCTGAACACCTCTCCCTAGCCCTCCCTTGCCCCCTGCTAAGTGCTGTCTGTCAGTCCTGGCATTCCAGAAGGGTGTTGAGTGATTGGCAGAGTTCAAAAGATGCCTTTCAGCCCTGGGGGACATTGGACCATCCAGGTGTCATTTGTCCCCTGAGACCTCCCCCCCTTACCTGTTGGTGGGATCCCTACCCCTTCCCTCTCCCCGGGGTTAAAAGCAACAACAACCACACGGTTCGGTGGTTCTGTTGGAGCTGTTGCTGGATTCAGGGATCTGTGTGCCAGGAATAAAGTTCTGGATTGAAACCCTCCTTCAGAACCAACTCCTTTTTCTTCACCTTGCCTTAAAGCTTCTCCACCAGAGGTAAACCTGAGCTCCTGCATGTCTGGACTTGTCCCAAGCACCCAGCTACAGCATCCAGCTAGCCAAAGGTGTCTCTGGGGTGAAACCACCACAGCTGCTGCCTCTGGTCAAGCAGCAAGGGCCAGACAAGCCTAGGCACGTCCCATCCAGTTATATTGGTAATAATTCCAATAAACACAGAACAAGCAAGAACTTACGCAGCTCTTCTCGGTGCCTCTCTGTCTCTGCAAAAAACTGACGAAGCTCCTCTGTGATCTCCATGTTACTCAAGTCATACTCTATCTCTCCTTCAGACTCAGAGTCTTCCTCCATTTCAGAGTCCATTTCAGCCTCCTCTTCCATTTCGGAGTCCTCATCAGCATCCTCCCTCTCCTGGTAGGCACCTGCGTACTGCTGAGCTCCCCCGTGACACGGAGCTCTGACATCTGGTCTGTAGCTGGAAGAATAGTGTTGGATATGTGGGAGGTCATTCCCATGCCAGTCTGAGTAGTGGCTGCCTGGAGAGGCTGCAGCAGGGTGCCAGGGATGCCATGGCAGGCAGTACAAGGACTCCATGGCTCTCCTGTAGGCTTTCTGGTGCCTGTGCATCCAGCGCATGGCTGAGTCATAGTGCCTCCAGTACCTGGCGTACACCTTGTGAGAGTACCACGGCTCCATGTCCTCCTGCAGCCAGAGCACACAGGGAGAGGGAAAGAACACAGACAATCAAACACACACCACAGCACTCATGCTCCCCCCCAGAAAAAAGGTATAAGAGAGAGAGAAACGAGGGGAGCAACTAAATGCAAGGACAATGCTGCCTTTCAATCTTTAGTCATCCTTTAGCTATGATAGAACACAGAGATGTGAAAAACAACATGTATGAGCACAGTGTACTTGCACCACACCTCATTACTCCTACAAGAGACTCCTTTGGCATCAACTATCACTGAAGAACTAGAAACAGAGAAGTTGTAGTGTCCAGAAGGTATTTTCCAAGTGCTCATGCTACTACAGTAAGAAACAGTCTTTTTTAGGAAATATGCCATGTGGATATAGTCCACAATTCCTTAGACACTCACATGAGTTTTAAGAATTGAGTAATTCCAAGGTGTAGATATTACATCCTATAGCTAATTTCCAACTCCACAGACAGAAAACACAAGAGATTAAGATTCCTCTGCACTAAACAAACACATTTATTTTAACAGGAACATATTTCCTCCAGTAATGTATTTCCTCCATCTGCCTGCCAAAGTTTCTCAGAAAAGGTCAAACAGCAATTCAGACAAGTTCGTATTTCCACCGTGGCCACAATCAAAAACAAGACTGTATTTAGCCAAATGCAAGCTGCCAGTGAATCTCCCTTTTGTATCCATCACCAACCAAAACATGAAAAGAGGCAATAAAGTGCCACTGATAAAGTACAGAGAAAAACAGTTCTATAGAAAGAAACATAGTGTAACACACCTTCTCCTGTCTTCCAGATAATCTTAGTTTTCCTTAAAGAAATTTCATGCTGTTCAGATTTCACCAGTAACTACAAAGCCCCACAGTCCCTGTAGCCTTAAGCTCCCTTCATACAAGCCATTTCATCTCCCACCTCATCCTACTCTCACAAAACAGAATAGAGGATCTTAAAAAAACAAAGCTATAAACTACACTAGAGCCTAGATCAAGTAAACTAAATAGCAAATATTTTCTCCCTTTCCCTCATGTCTTAATTTCCATAGAAAATACTTTATCTGGAGTAAAACAGAATGCCTCTACTTTAAATAGGAAAATTTTAATTAAGCCATGTTCTGGCAAACACTCAAAACTATGGCAAAACTAGCTGACGTTTTCAGAGATGAATGTGACATTTACAGTCCTTTATTAAGGCGGTTTCTTCTCCTTTTGTTTTTCTTTTTAAGGACATGCAGGACAAAAATTTTTAAATCTTTTTTTGATCTACCCTGGCATCACTTGGTCCCTTTAAAAAATGATTCTGTGGTGAAAAGAAATCCCAAGGCAAAACCAGAAAACTCAAACCTAAAAAATACTTTCCATCCAGAGAGGTTCACTTAGTTTACTTACACTTGTTTTCACTTTCTGGTTCTAAGACAATAAAGCAAATGCAAGTGAGTTTGGAATAAAAATTGCAACTCTCATGCTGCCTTTCTTTCTGGAAAATTTAGCCTGTTATTCCATAAGAGATCAATGCTATATCTTTTTTAGGTCATTCCTAAGTGCTCTCAGAAACAAAATATCTTCAGCTAACAGAGTACATAAAGAAAACCTCCACAAATTTGCATTCCTTAAGGTATTCCTGATCAAAAACTGCACCCTATTTGTGAAGGGCTGTGTGCCTCAGCTATGAGATTTAAAAGTGCAGTCAACTTATCTTTCCTGAAAAGAAAGAATTCATGGAGATGAAACTTCACTGCTATTCTCCTCTTGGTCTAACACTGCACTGCTACAAGACCATGCATTTGGAGCTCCCAAAATGCAGCATTCCCAGGATGAGTGGGTAGAAGGAAAGCATCTGCCTTCCATATGGAACTTCTTCATCCTTAATCATCCAACTACCTAACAGCTAGGATGAACAATGCTTTATTTACTCTTTCCCTTTGCTTAAGAATGTCATACTGACTCCTCATCCTTCAGCAGACAGATGAGAATGTCCTATTATCAAACCTGATACATTAACAAGTTACTTTTAAAACATTTTGACTATTTTTTCCTTAAATATTAAAATACTTTAAAATCCAGTTTTGAAAGACCATGATGCTTGACAAAAGCAGGTATCTCCTACATTCTATATATCTGCAAAAAAGACAATATATTCTTTTAAAGCTCAAAAATTATCTCCGGTTCTTATAAAATGTTTCTAAAAAGGAACTTGATGACTTTACTGAAAGCTCTGGAATCAAGCTGGTTGATTTGTCTGGCTGACTAGCTCCAGTTGTTAATTTAGGGGAAAGGAAGACAAAAAGCCAGTTCATACAGATGGAACTGTGATGCTGGTGCTTGTCCAACTACTTTTTGTGAGGGTTTTTTTTGTTGAAAGCGACCCTTGAAAACCTTACATTTGAATTTTAAAAATACATCTGTTAAAAAAGAAATTACAGAAATGTTTTACATTTGGGTGGAAATGGAAAGGAACACTTTTAGTCTCACTTAGTTCTGTGTCTGTGCTTTTTCAGCTGTGGAATAAATGGAAATAAGAGATTTCCTCAAGGAAACAAAAGCTATAAATCCAAGGCAAATGATCAGAGTCCTCTGTTATTCTCCTGTTATTTCTCTGGAGTCTTCCCAGGAGTAGACAAATCACTCGTTGTTGTAATCTGAATTCTATTTTCAAAGCAATTTAGTGACTTTTACATCTAATTTTTACATGTCTGCACTCACAGTTCAATGAAAGTGTTTATATGCATGTTATATATAAAATGTGACTAAGCTATTCCATAGAAACCTGTGAAGACCTCTTACCATCTCTTGTGGAGTTTGTTCTGGTGATGATCAAGGTGAACTAGAAAACAAAAGAGTAGCTTTTTAATTCATAAAAATATATGTATTAAGGTGGTCACAGGCACTGAATATATTTTTTGTTATATTTGAGAACTATGACCTATAGCTGTTAAGTATCCCATCCCTGTTGGGGCAAGTTGAAGTCTCTTACTGATAGATTTTGATTAGCAGCAATAAAAATCCCATTCCTTAAAATTCTCCACTACAGTGAGAAAGTTAAAATAGAGCCTTCCACAAAATGCAGCCTGAAATGCTGGAACTGAACATTTCTCCCATTGCTCTTCTCTTTTTTCATGCTTCCTCAACCTTTATTCTCCAAATTAATGCCAAACAAAAACCATCAACTTAAAGGAAACAAATTGTTTTCACTTTTTAGCTGTGTCTGCACAGGAACTTGCATAAAAAAAAAAATTGCCATAAAATGATTAAACCCATCCTGATTCCACTCATGCAGCAAGGTTTCTGTTTAACCTGTGGTGGACTTTTGACCACATACTGTCTCTTCTTTCTCTTTGCCTCTCTTTTTTTGTTTTCCTCCCTCCAGCATCTGATCCTGCCTCTCATGAAGAAAACACAGGTCAGTTTACGTTGCAACCACAATTTTTAAATGTGAAGAAAAGGCATAAGGAAGAGGGGCAACCAGACAGGAAAAAAAAAAATAAAAGAAAAAAATGATTGTGAGGGTAGAAAGGGAGAACAAGAGCTCTATAACCACCAGGCAGGATGTACAATCACCAACATATCCAGGGTGGTTTACCAGTATGTATCACTGAGAAATATTCTTAATCTCCTCCTATCTGACAACTATTTTATTACACTAACAGGTCAGCTGCTTCATTCACATACTTCTCCTGACATTCTCAGCCTGAACTTTATTTTAGGTGCCAGTGAAAGGTAACAGAAACAGAGTACACTAAACTACCTATTGCTACTCTTAAGATATGGTCAAATGCTATTCCCAGAAACACTGGAATATAGCCAAGACAGCACTTAAAACCACTGTAGATTCATACCAGGATAAAGCCAGGCTTTTTCAAAATGCAGATGAATACAGAACAGTTCTGCCTCATATTTAACAATACTCATTAAAGAGCAACTTTTTGTCACTTAAGCCATACTGTATGAAAGAAGAATGGAATGGCCAAACAAAATGCAAATCATGCAGCAACTACAAAAGCAAATGATGGTCCTTTTGGCTGTGTCCAAAGGCCACACTAAGCTCCAAGCCATAAACCCCTGGTAACACCATAACTCCATGTCTGCAAGAAGCTCTACACACAGGAGCATCCCACTGCAGTTGATGGAAACACTCATGCCAGCAAAGGCTGCAGATTCAGGCATTGGGCAACTAAAGCAGGCTGGATTCTCTCCTGCCTGCTTGGAGGAAGAAGGAAACCCAGCACTGAGATCACTGCAAAACACTGCAGGGACTTAGCACCCAAAACTCATGCACAGATAGAAGATTGCTGTGCCATCCCTCTTTGGGCATTTCAGATGTCTCATTACAACCACTGCCTTCTTCAGAACTTTCGTCTCCACTCTCATGATGTACACATATACTTTTTGTCTCTTCCCCATATATATCTTTCCTAGATATATCTGGATACTGTCAAGATTGCCATAAAGTCTTTTTCTCATACTTAAAAACCTAAGCCCATGATATCCAATTCTTTCATTTTCTACTTCAGAAAAGTAGGTGTGTTTAATTTTCATGTTCACTCTAATTCCTACATGACAAAAATTTCTTTGAAACAAGTTTCAGAATAAACAGAAATCAGTATTGATCTCAATCTAAATAGTTTTTTAAAGCAATAATTGGTAAAGTCTGATACTTTATTATTAACACAAAACATGTACCTATGCTTTCTGAAAGGGAAGGAGGGGAAAAACCCTGCCAAAACCATCCAACTGTATTAGTTTACCAAATATGAAAAACCTGTTTTGCCCAACATAGAAACTTTAATTATTTTCATAAATTATTTATAAAACATTAGACTACAAATATAAAGCAGAACACAAAAATGCTGCAAGCAAGGAAACGAAATTAAAAAGTGAGTTTGTTTTATTTTCAGTTGAATTACTCTTCCAAAACAAACTACATCAAATATGAAACATGACAAGCAGCAGAAAAATAAATGTAATAGTTCTACTTCTATAATTTATACTTCAAAAAATGAAATATGTAGCCATTGAATATATGGAACTCATGACCAAATGTATAATTTAAAATGGGAAAGAGATTTGTTTGCTTATACTGATCATTAATGATGGACATTTTTTCTAGTTTCTTGTCTCAGTTTTAAAATATTTCTCCACTGATAATGAACCAGGGATGTACTCCCTTTCATCAAAACACGTCTGTCCCCCTTACCAGCTTGAGGCAGGTGAGCATTAGAGAAAATAGATAAATCCCATCAAAGCAATGACAGCATTTAATTCGCTTGGAGTCAATACAAATGGAGACAATGTCTGTAATACCTTAAACTCAAATTCAATGCACTGGGGTTTATAAATTGGTAAGTAAATCCCACTCTGGGAACACTGTGGGACTAGTGGTGTGTTGGATACAGTGTGGCCACATGAAGGAAACAGGAACAACTCCAAGCCCAGTGCAGACCAGTGAGGGTTCCACTATTCACAATATCCATCGACACAAGATTAACTATTGCATGATATTATGGTAAAAACATAGTATGTTATAAAAGGAAGGTGGAATTCCAATAAATTCAGCAGGCTTCAACAAAACACATTTTTACAAAACTTTCATGAAAAAGCCAACTACATTTGAATTGGAAATGACCCTAACAACCGAGCGCTGACCAGCCCCTCTGCCCACTGCTGCTTTTGTCCCTGCTGTGAAAACTGTCTTCAGACAGGCCAGAGCTGCCCTAACTCAGTATTGTTTCTGGCAATGGTTAGTAGGAGATACTCAGTAAAATGTGACGCTAACATAAAGGAATTACTTTTCCAGGTACACTTCTCCTGACTTCAGCAAGTGTTTTTTTTTTTTTTTTTTATCCCCAAACTGATTTTGGCATTTAAAGCCAAAACCCCCATGAGTAACAGGTGTTTCCAATAAATCCCCTGGCAGTAAACTTCACAGTTTAAGGGATCAAGCATAATTTTGTGCTGTGTATTTTGAACTCACTTTAGTACACACTAGCTAAAAAAATGTGAATATAACAACATCAGTAGTGTGCATCCTCCCATGAACACTATTTCATTTTATACTTCTGATGCAGAATTACCACCAGAAGAGGGAAATGTCTGAAAAGTGGTCTGACATTCTGTGCTTCAGATTAATGCTGTGCATTGCTGTGACGTTAACTTTAATACCAAAGTGCCCTAGTTACAGTCACGAAGAAACACAAGCCTGTGATTGCTGGGACAGCTGGCAGCAAAAGTTATTTCTCTTCCAGAGAAGGGGTAAAAATTCCCAACACTTTCCCCTGCGTTCTGGTTTGCCAATGGCTGTAAATACAAGACTTGTCCAGAACTTAGGATACAGTTACAGCTCCTTCTCATCCCAAGAGGAATGCTATGAACACCCACCTATCACTATGATGTTCACATCAATGTCCTTAAAACAACAGCAGCAACTCCTGTGAATGGAAGGGAAACAAATTAGCATAACGCAAAACAATGTTCTCAAACTTTAGAGTATGTATTACAGATCTTTTGGCCCTATCAGAAGCTGAGGCAGTGTAATCCACTGTGGGTCCCCAAAAGAGGGTCTTTATTCTCTGAGCTTCAGGACATAAACCCAAAAGCTATTTCGGCCAAAAATCAGAGGGAAGAAATAAAGTATGAATATAAAGCTGTACAATTATCAGTAGCCCAGTTTAGTTAAGTTTTGTATATATATATCTGGTCAATGTAGTCATAAACAAAGAACAGGATGGAACTTCTCCGTACAGCTTTTGAAGGCGTAAGTAATTTCCTGGTCTCACAGGCCTCGTGCCCAGACTCCGGCAAGTGACCGAAAGGCTCCAGAAGCGCTGAGCAGCTCCGGCCCGTGCTAGCAGGGCACACAATTACACCAAGGGCTGCCAGGAGCACGGGCCCTGGGCCCCGGCTGCCCCAGCGCACAGCGCGCCGCTCTGCCCGAGCTCGCCGCCTCAGGCCCCGGGCCGATAAACTGTACACGAACGGCAAAGCCCCGCTCCCGTACGGTACCACAACCACCGCCTGGGGCCACAATCCCCGGCCTTAGCCCCGCCAGGCGCCCGGGCTCCCACATCGCCTTCCTGAGCCTTTCGCTTTCCCGCTCCCGCCGCCGTTTCGCCCCGGCTGCCACGGCCCTCAGCCCGGTCCCTGCCCCGGGCGGGAGGCCGCAGCCTGCGCGGGAGCACCGCCGTCCCCGCACCCACCCGGACAGCGCGGGGCTCCGGCGGGCACGGAGAGCCAGGCACGGCCGCCTCCAGCGCTCCCTCGCTCCGTTCCGGCGGGGCCCAGCGCGGCTTCCCCCGCCGCTTCCGCCCGGCGCTCCCTGGGCCAGCGGCGCCATCTCGTGGTGCTGTGGGGAGGCGCAGCCGGGGCCCCGCTCCCCGCAGCCGCCCCTGGAGCTGCCGGCCCACAGAATTACAGGATCAGTTCGTTTGGGAAACATTTGCAACATCATCCAGTTCAACCTATGACCGAAAAACTAAACCATGGCATTGAATGCCACGTCCAGTTCTTTCCTTAGCCACCTCCCTGGGCAGTTTATTCCAATGTCTAATCCCGTTTTTATGAAAAACTTTGTCTTAATGTCCAATCTAAATCTCTGCTGGCACAGCTTAACATTATTTCTTCTCGTCCTGTCACTTGCTATCCCGGAAGAGAGACCATAGCCTCCTTTCAGGGAGTTGTAGGGAGTGGTAAGGTCACCCCTGAGCCTCCTTTTCTCCAGGCTAAACAGGAGAAAACAGGCTAAACACCCCCACTAAACACCTCCAGCTGCTCCTCACAGGCCTTGTACTCCAGACCCTTCACCAGCTCCATTTCCCTTCTCTAGCAAGTTCTGAGTTCCTGCTGTCCCACCTGACCCCTGGTCACCATCTCTAGTTCCAGAGCACACACACAGTGCTCAGCGAGTTACTCAAAACACGCGTGCACTACAGTGGTGGTGCTGTGGCCCTGCCATACTTTACCCTCTGGTTATTATATTTTCCATTGTTAATATCTAATATTCTGGTCAGTATTTTCACGGGACTGTGAATGAGCAGCCCCTTGGGGACCTGTTGCGGCTGGCAGAGCAGAGACTGCATTTTCCCCTGTGTAGCATTTTACACTCTCTGTATTAAATTTGCCAGCTATTACCTGGTGCCATAATGTTGTTGTGTGTCTCTTCATGGTCGATAAACCACTGAGCTGTACCATACTGAACAGCCCAGGATCCTCAGCAGACCGTGCCACCCCACTGTCTGTGCCTTTCTCTGGCACCTCGTGGATGGGCTGTAACACACAAGTATGGCTCATGCTCCTGATCCCAGCAAGGAGGGCTCCCCTAGGGCTTCTCTCCACTAAGGCTATTTCTCTTCTGTAATTTCCATGCTTTTAATTAATACTTTCAGTGCAAGATTATTCCCGTTTTTCAGCTCTCCTGGTGCGCTTACTGCTCTAGCTGCTTGCCTGCTGAAAATTTCAGCAGATCATATTGAGACAACTTCCCTTTGTTACCTGTTTAAGTAAAAATGCCCATTGTGAAATGAAATTTCATATTGAGTCTCATTCATAGAGCAGATTTCTACATTTATTTCCCATATATCTACTAAAGGTATTTTTAAAAATAATTGTTACTAATCTGCCTGGTAAGGGTATCACATTTAGTACTTCACAAGATCTTCTTTAAAAGTAGTAAAAATGGTAGGATGTAAATATATTTTCAGCATATTCAGAGCACTAAGTCACTGCTTCTGAAATTCTAGTGGCTTCTCCATCATCTGTGTATTTTTTTTCTTCCAGCTACTGTGTCACCGTATAGTTTCCTATGGAAGTCAGGCATCTGTGCAGAACTGAGAAGTCTAGATACTGCAGTGGATTTTAATTGTGGTCCTGTTCAGCCCCTGCATCCCAAGTGTTTTTTGATTTCCCTGTGTATGGCCAAAAAACTCATAGAGAGCTTCTGTCTCCAAGAAAGAAGTGCTTTATACAATTACCAGCCTGCTTTGTCTGATGGGCACCCAGTGCACTCAGAGGCTCTTCCAGCTTTTCTTGCTCTGATCTGTGTATTCCTAGAGGCACATCTGGGTTGCTTTGCGCTCGCACATTGGTATCTGCTTTTACGCATGGCACACTGACGGCGGAAGGATGTGGACAGCAGCACATCAAGGTTATCTTGGAGAGTCAGTAGGTGAAAAAAGGAATCAGACAAATCATAAGTGGAGAATCTATTAGTCAGTCATCAGGACACACTTCTGACTTAAGAAGTCCTGGTGTAGTAAGAAAGAGCTGCTCTGTGTTTGCCCTGTTCATTCCTGAGGGCCCTGACATGGGCCACTCTCAGAAAAAGTGGTGATGAACTACACAGATCTTTAGTTGGAGTAAATTATATTGCTTATGGTGATTATGTTACGCATATATTAAAATCAAGGCATGCTTTATTGCTGAACTGCTGCACTTTGTATGGGAGAAAGGCATCAGGGCAATCTGCACAAAGGTATGGCATATGTGTTGGTTTTGTTAAACTTATCAGTCTCAGGCAAAGACTTAGAGTAATGTCTAGAGTAATGTTGGTGCTATGTCGATTTTGAAAATGCAATCAGCGTTGTAATGTTTTGTAGTTTTTTAATATTTCAGTTTGAAATACTACTTTTTGGGTAGCCTTACTTATAAAATGTATATTCTCCTGGTTCACTGCTTCTGGCTTATTTCCTTCTATCTGCCTTACTTATGCATATTTGCACTTGCACAGTTATTGTCTGGAAGCACAGAAAAAGTTATGCTATGGGATCTACAGAAATATCACATTAAATAAACCTCTAATTATATACATTTTTAAACAGTTAAGTCAGTACTTCTTGTCTGCTGAAAACCAATTTCTTTCTCTCTATTTCACCTGATCGCTTTCCCTGGATGACTTCTGAATCTTTCACTTCACAAGACATCTGCTGTTGTATTAGCTGTGTTTGCCTTGGAAGACCATGTAGATATTTAATGAGTTTAAAATCTGTCTTATCAGAGGAGAAGGAGCACCCTGGCAAGGTTTGCTTTTAAAGGAAGCCCCCTTCATGGTCGCTCCCACAACTCAACAGTAGAAAAGATCTCACGTTAAGTTTGATTGGTAAATACATTTGTTCTACACCCATGAAGCATAAAAAAATGTAAACTGAATCTAGAATGAAGTGAATACCCCTGCAATTTCTTTCTCAAAAATAATGATTTGCTGATGAAAGCATAGCTCCTATTGATTCCAGCGTGTCATCTCTCACAGGCTGAGGGCCAGAAACATCACAGGGGAGCCTTGGTTTTATTGATCAGTTTTGTCAATGGTGTCCCATAATGCAGCACGTCCCTCTTGAACTACTTTCTTCCATGACTGTGTTCCTTGTAGCTTTCAGTGTTGCTCCAATAGGCTAAAAATAAGGACACTCTTTGCTGGGAAATGTTTCCTGGCAAGAAAAATGTTGCTACCTATTCAAGTGCGGAAATTTCTTCATAAGAAACAGCATTTGAAGTTGTCAAGTCTTAGAGAACATTTGTCAGCTACTCAGATTCATTAATTAGCCAATTAATTTCATTAACTTATTCCTTAAGGAACTATGAGTTCAATGACTGGAGGTTTGCAAAAAAAGAAGTGTAGAAGGTTTAAATTTGCAGCACACTTACATAAGCTGAGAAAGCGCTCTGGGCATCAGATCTGAAGGGGAGGTCATTTCCAGCACACAGTGGCAATGACTGGAAGTTGGAAAGTAGGCAGTAACCTATTTTTCTTGTTCCACTGTTCAAGAGTCATATATCTGTCACACCCAAGTGTGTGATTCTGCAAAACTTGAGCAAATTTGTGGGTAGACCATTATTTTGCAAAGATTGTGTAAATGAGGTGAGTTAAATGTAATTCAAAATAAGTCACATTTAGAACTGCAGATTGTCCAAGATATTGTAATTATTGACTCCACTTGGGCTTTACTAAGACAAAATAATATTTTACATTGTTTCTAGCAGATTTTCAATCATTATATAAAATATTTGCTTGGATTAAAATAAATCCTTCTTGGGTCTAGCTCCTGTATAATGTGAACCTACAATTCATAAAATTTACAGGAAAAGATACCTCTTTTGGGGGATATGGGGGAGGGGGAAGGTGTGTGGCTGTGTTTGTGTGTAGGAAACTCGTGTGAGACTTCTCTTACCTCTGGCTTTCTGAGGGACAGTCTACCAGAGGCAGAGCTGGGGGGAGGTAAAATATCTTCTAAAACAATTTTACATCCAAAGAAAACATGAAGTGGAGGTAGACTTCTAGATGAAATGCCAATACTTTTATCCAAAGTTAGATGTAGCTCATATCTCTCTTCTGTAACTCCTGTGGCCCCACTGTACATGGATAAATTAAATATCAGGAGCACCTCTAAAAACTTCCCCACTGGGACAGGGGATAATATTCCTTTTGCTGTCTTTCTGTGCTCACCTACAGTCTGACAGTGATCTCTATACCTGAGCTAGTCACTCTCCAGATATCATTGTAGCCACGGGCAAAGCACGGTAATGCATTTTGGGTGCTGTTCATCTGGTATATGTTGGTTATTTACTTGGGGTAGATGTGAATCCCACCCCAGAAGTGCTTTTTTCTTCCAGTGATTTTCAAGGAAGCCTGAGGCAATTCTTACATGGTGCTGTTATTGCAGGAGTGTATGTTTAGTCAGATAAATCCCATCGAGAAAAATACAAGTGCAAATACAAGTGCAAAAAGTTGCTAAAGGAAAATATTGCCGCGGATTGTGAGATAAAAGCCCACGGGGTCAATAGATGGCAGCATTGTAAATGGTAAAGCAGAGCCTTCTGTCTGAAACAGCGGCACAAGGGAGCCTGAGCTGGCTGCGAGCTGGCTGCTCTGGAGGAGTAAAAGATCTCCCAAACAGCCCTGCCTCGTACCTCTGGCTTGCTGAAATGTGCCACCTCCTCTCACTTTCCAGATGGCACAAAGTCTAGCTTTTTCTTGAAAGCTAACAAAAGAATCTTGAACCATTCAGGTTTTCAGAGTCTGAAAAGCAAAAGAAAACGGAATATTCAGCTAACTCTTAAATTTCTGTTCCTGGACGCTTAACACTGGAACATGCAGCATAGCAGCTTATGATGATTTATATGAGAATTTTGTGTGGTAATTTTATGCAGTATGTACACACAATAAAACGTTATAATGTTATCTTTTTATCTTTATTTGAATTTAATTCTTTTGGTCTTTAATAATTGGTTTTATTTCATGTGTCATTGTTATTATTTTGGCATTATTATACAAGAGCATTTATTAATTTGTATTAG